GCGCCGCCCTCCCCCTGCCCCCCCCGTGCCAGCGGGTGCTGACGGCACCGTGGGCCGCGCTGTGCCGCAGGGCGCCGGCTCCCCAGACCCCGGGCAGAGTCCCGGCACCCTCTCCAGCCGGCCTCGCCCCGTCCCTGTCCGGGCCGTCCCTCCTGCCTCGGGGCCGCCGCACCGGCCTGTGTGGGGCCCTCTGAGGAGCGTCCCCTGGACGGCACGGCGGCCCCGGGGCTGTGCCCAGCACCGTGTGTGTGCTCAGGCACTAGGGTCCAGGGCAGAGCTCAGCGCGGCCCGGCGGGCTCCGGCTCCCGTGCTTGGGCCGGGGAGCCGTGCTTCCCTCTCTGGGGAGTGGACACCCGGCGCCTCTGCCAAGTTGGGCTGGTGGGGGGGGCGGTGCTGGCTGGGGGCACTGACCATGCCTGGTGCCAGCGTCTGGTCTCAGACAGCGGCCGTCTGGGGGAGTGAGGTGCTGGTGAGGCGCTGGCGGAGCTGGGGTGTTCATCTTTCTGGGAAAGATGTTGCTGGTCCGTGTAAACGGGGTGAAAACCAGTTCACGGGCCACATGGAGCCGACGGACGGCCCTGCGTCCCTTTCCTTCTCTGGTGGGCGGCCTGGGCAGCGGCCTGTGTGTATCTCCAGCTCGGCGCTCCCTGGCCTGGAGCACAGGCTGCCAGCGGGGTGAGGGAAGTGGGCCCCGGATGCAGGGCTGGCGCTGTGCTCGGGGGCCGGGGGCGGGGGCAGGACTCGCTCCCGTGCGGACAGGGTGACGGCACAGTCCCCGGGGCCACGGCTGCGGACGGGCGCTTCTGAGCGCGTTCTGTGAGACGGGGTGACCGTTCGAAAGGTCTCAGTGAGATCGGAGCGAAAGTGGCTCCAGGAGGACGAGTGTGAACTGCCCTGTCCCGGGGCAGCTGTCCAGCAGCTCGGTCCCCGGCTAGTGAGACCTCATTGCAGTGCTGGCTGAAGATGCCTCACGCTGGTAACGGGCCCTCGCAGAGACGCGTGAAACACAATGCGATCAGACCCCAGCGGTGCTCGTCACCAGGTGTGCACGGGCGCACTCCTTCACGTATTTCTTTCTGAAGCTTTTAAAATACGAATTTTATAGGAAAGGAGAAGGCGTTTTTAAGTCTGACAACATCTCTACCATATCCATCCTGAAAGATGTGCTCTCCAAAGAGGCGACAAAGCGGAAGATCAACCTCAACATATCCTACGGTAGGAAAAGCCCAGTAGAGTTTGGTGGGGCGACAGTGAGCATGTGTCTGAGGAACGTGCCTGCGACCTGTCTGCTCGGCCCTAGAGGTGGACGAGGCGTCAGTCAGACACACGCTGCAGCTGATCCACCCGAAGCTGGAGGGCCAGCTGCTGCTGGCCAAGAAAGTGCAGCTGATCGACGCTTTGCGAGTAAGTGTGTGGGGACCCGCGGGGTCGTTTCGGGAGGGGACTTCCGAGGCTGTCACGACGGGGTGACACTGAGCTGAATTTTGAAGGTTAAGGCGCTTCTGTTTGAATTCAAATAAGGAACTACAGGTTCACGAGGGGAACGCGGACTTTCTGGTCCCGGAGTATCGCTGCATCCTGGAGGACGCGGAGCAGCTGCAGGCGGAGTACAGAAAGCAGCCCGCCCGCCTGGACCGGCTCCACGGTCAGTGGCTGTTCCAGATTTCCTTGTCACACTGCTTCCCGCTGTCTCTCTGCAAGGTGTCCTGTGAGGGCAGCTGGACGTGGCCAGGGTCCAGCAGCCGTGAGCCCGTGGCAGCTGTCAGGGCACAGAACATTTTGTAGGACTAGTTTTGATGTGAATAATTGCACTTGATAAAACAGGTAAAAACGACGAGTAAATGGCACGCGCTGAATGTTCTGTACATGTGAAGAAAAACGGGCAATAGACTGTAACCTGTGAGAGACTGAAGTGGAGACTGTCGCACAAGTGCTTTGCAGGTTTCGTCCTGTAAAATACCGAAGTGCGGCATTGGATGTGCTTTGGCCGATTTTAAGGGGGAAGGCACGCGCCCTGTTCTATCTGCAGCTCAGAATTGGATTGCTTTGGGTGTTTCTCACAAGGAGAGGGAGGGGAGGGAGAGAAGAAGGAAGATTAAGAGAAAGCTCTGACTTTACGTGAGGCCTGTTGTGTGGCGCATTTTCGGAACATCTTCCGGGGAGGTGGGGCGCAGTCCTTCGGCCGCTGTGCGAGGCAGATGGCGTCACCTCCATTTTTCACATTTCTCTGACTGAAATCTGACTCAAGACCAGGTGGAGGCTCGAGACACTGCGCCCCAGCGCCCCAGCCCTAGTGAGCCTCTTTCCAGGCCGCCGGTGGTACCGTCCACAGGTCGGTGAAGCCCGAGTCCTGGGTTCCTGATGCCCAGAGACGCGCTCGGAAGCCCTGACGCTGGCACCTGGCACCTTGCTGCTGCTGCTGCTCTCTCGTGTAGCGAGCAGTTGGCACTGACGCTGGGGCACGTACATCTGTCCTGTGGTAACATGGAAGAGGGTGGGGTGCCGCCATCTCTTCCCACCAAGCCCAGCTCCACAAAGTTGAAAACCAAAGCTTTTGCGTGAAATCACCCGGCAGGAAGTCCGACCTCACCTGAGCGAGCTCACGACAGCGCCCGCTGTGAGCGCCGGGTCGCGCAGCATCACCCCCTCGCACCGTGGGGACGGCCCCGTGCACTGGCCGCGGGAGCTGCTGCCGTGAGCCGCCCCGGGCGCGAGGCCACCGGCGCTGCGGCCCTGTCGGTCTCCAAACGGGAAAACCTGTGAGGCTAACCCTGCGTCCAGGGTTTTCGATAAATGACAGCGGGAAGGAAAAACTCAGGCGAAATAACCTGCCGAGACCTTTGAAGCTAGGCAGGCTCGCCTTGAGGCCAGCCACGAGTGCTCGACTTGCAGTGGGACCGGCTGGCCTAAAGACCGGAATCTGCTGCATGTGAGAAAATGAGAGGACAGCCCCTGGGAGAGAGCAAGCCAGCGAGCGTGTGTCCACCACGGCAGTTGAAAACCGGCCGGCCACGGCCTGAGCTGATCCCTCGTGACCCCTTAGGCTCAGTAGCCAAGCGATGTGCCTCCAAGCCACCCCACTGTTTCTAGCTACACAGTCGATTTATAGATACCTACCTCCTTATTTTTTTAATTTTGTTTTTATTTTCGCTTAGGGTGTGAGATGGGGGGGGGGGAGTGAAAGGAACCACCAGAGACAAGAGCGGGGATTCGCTGAGACAGTGCTGAGGGGCGGCGGGGAGACAGGAGGGATCCCTTGGGGGACCCTCCCTGGCCGGGTGGACGGGGCCGCCGGGCTGCACACCGCTGTGCCCCGGTGCCAGGGGGCTGCAGGACATCAGCCTGTGTGTGGAGCCGCGGACACTTCGGCAGGTTTTGCGCCTTCCTGGACTGACCGTGTGACCCGGGTCTTTACAGGCATGATCACCGATCTCTTCATCGACAAGTTCAAATTCAAAGGCACTAACGTGAAGACCAAAGTACCGCTTCTGCTGGAGATTCTGGACAGTTACGACCAAGATGCTCTGATCGCCTTCTTTGAAGCTGCCTGAAATACAAGCAAGGTAAAGGTCAAGGGAGGGCTGCTTCAGGCGAAAGCGGCCGGTGCCAGGGCGGCGGTGCCAGGGCGTGGCCGTGGCCGTGGCCCCGCGGACGCTCTTCACAGACAGGCCGAGTGCGTCCTGGTAATGCCTGCTTTTGTCATGAACCTTGTAAAAATAAAGGAGCCTGTCACCTGCGACACAGGTGGAATGACCGCAAGGGAGTGCAGTGCCTTTTCTTCAGGTGGATGTTTTAAATGGAGGAATAAATTCGGGAAATAACGTTCAGGCAGGCAGGCCGGGTGCTTCAGCCTGCTCGCGTCGGGGTCCCCGGCATGCCTGAGCTCCGCGGCCGGCTGTGACCCGCTGGGGTCTCCTGGCAGTCGCGGGGCCCAGCTCAGCGATGCCCTCGCTCGCCAACTCGCTGACACCCGACCCGGTGGGTGTGTGACATGCTGGGGGGGTCTCGCGGGGCGAGGGCCCC